GAAGGAAAATAGAAAAATAGCCCATTTCATGGACTAAAAAATTGGCGTCCATCTAGCGGCGAAAGTTGGAACTACAAAATTATAAAAATGCGATTTTCTCGAGAATTAGCAAACTTTGAGTACTTCTGAGGCCCAGAAAGTGTTATGTAATCGCACTAGAAGCAAAATAATGCGATAAAGCGAATCTAATTATAGCCCGCTACGACTATTATTAAAGAAAATAGAAAAATAGCCCATTTCATGGACTAAAAAATTGGCGTCCATCTAGCGGCGAGAGTTGGAAGTACAAAAATATAAAAATGCTGGTTTCTCGAAAATTAGCGAATTTCGAGTACTTCTGAGGCCAAGAAAGTGTGATATGATCGCATTAGAACCAAAATGTACCAATAAAAGTTTCCTGAAAGCTTTAATAAAGAAAATAAAAAAAGTGGCATTTTATGGAGAAAATTTGTGGCGTCATCTAGCGGCGAAGCTGCGAACTAAACTGGATAAATGTATGGTCGAACACGCAGCAAAGAGGTCAAATAAAAATTGATTTTGAGGGCTTAATAAGCAAAAAAATGAATAACTTATTCAACAAACTTTGCTTTAAAATATTTGAAGAAGCATAGTTCGTCGCCAATGTCGCGCAATATTACTTTTTATATTACTCCTTAAAGCGTGTTCGGATATACGTTTTTCAGTATCGATAGCAGTTTCGCCGCTAGATGGCGCCACAAATTTTCTCCATAAAATGACATTTTTTTTATTTTCTTTATTAAGGCTTTTAGGAAACTTTTATTAGTATATTTTGGTTCTAATGCGATCACATCACACTTTCTGAGCCTCAGAAGTACTCGAAATTCGCTAATTTTCGAGAAAATAGCATTTTTATATTTTTGTAGTTCCAACTTTCGCCGCTAGATGGACGGTAATTTTTTAGTCCATGAAATGGGCTATTTTTCTATTTTCTTTAATAATAGTCGTAGCGGGCTATAATTAGATTCGCTCGATTCCGTAGGTGACAAGGAACAATTTGTATATCTCAGAATTTCGGAAAAGTGCCTAGTTTTCGAGAAAATCGAAATTTTAGTTTTTCGTAGTTCCGCCGCTCGCCGCTAGATGGCGCCACCTGTGCCGTTTTGGACCGAATTCGACAAAAATTGATTTTCTGGCTTTATTAGACATCAAAACGCATCAAACCCTAATAGAAATTTGTTTGTAAATGCCTCGGGAACCATACTACGTCGTCAAAGTGCCGAAATATTGCACTTTGCATGGGCAGTAGACAAGAGGCGTGGCCACGTCTATACGACAGGAGGCGGGGCCACGCCTACAGGACTGCGTCGCGCAGAAGACTGGAGGCGGGGCCTCGCGTACAGAACTGCGCCGCGTATGCGCAGTAGAATTGACATAGGCGGTGTATGTACGTATCGGAATGCTGACACAAAATAATTAATTACTCATTACCCGAATATTATTTATGTATTTTTACGATCAAGCTATGTAAATAGTGCATTGCTGAACATTCTTCAATCCTAAAAGTGCACAAAATATATGCAGAAAACGTGTAATTAATTATTCTATATGACCTCGTATATACCGCTTGTCTCCGTGGCTGGCTTTAGGTTATTAGTTAATAACTAGTTATTTTCATTAAAAATCTGAACAAATATGATACGAGAGAGTGGCTGAGGGATCACTGAACATTCTTTAATAATGAAAGTGCATAAATTGTGTTTAGAAAATGTGGTATTAATTATTTGATATTAGCTCATGCGTACGATGTATTCCGCCGACTTCGCGTTGGATATATATGAATAACTAATTATTTACAATAAAAATCTGAACAATTGTGATATGAGAAAGTAGCTGGGGAATCACTGAACATTCTTTAATCATAAAAGTTCATAGATTGTCCTTAGAAAGTGAGTAATTAACGATTTTGCATACTCATTATCGTGTCTATAGGGTAAGCTTATAGCTCTACTGCGCATGCACACTGTTTTACGCGAACTACCTTTAGTTTTCTGCGCTCCTGATACTAAAAGCAGCTCCTGGTACCCATCCGCTAGATGGCGCTAGTATAGAAAGTCGTAATTTTTATATATCTTAGTTGCATTGCTCACCGCTAGATGGCTAGACTTTTTTAGGTCCATAAAATGCATTATTTTTTTATTTTTTTTCTAATGGTTTTGGCAAACTGTGATGACATTTTTTTAGCAGAATAGGGGTCGTAGAATACTATAGCCGCCTCAGAAAAGCGAAAAAACCTCTAATTTTGCAGAAAATCGTTTTTTTTTAATTCCGTTGTACGACTTGTCGCCTGTAGATGTCACTAGTGGTACTGTTTCGGGAAGCGCGCTTGTACCCATTGATTTTAAATAATTTTAATGAACGACGTATTCAAAATACTTACCAAATTTTCAAAAAGAGATGCGCTGCTGCTAATTACTATTTTCTATTGTTATTATTGCGCACCTATCTGCTAGAAGGAAATTAGAGTTATGATGCTAAGTGCAAGAAACGATTGGTAAATGATATAAAAAAAGTTTGTAGCGTGTGTTGGGTATTAAATAAATAACAATTAGGCTTTATTTACTGAGTTTATTCAATGCGCAACATTTTACAGAATAATAAACACGATATTCCGTAATACATAATGAAGTTCGGACATTGTGAAATGGAAAAGACATTAGAAAATCAATTTATATGTCATATTGTTAAAACGTACAGACAACAGCGCATGAAATTATGTCCGTGTAAATTATCCGCGCGTGAACGATCGTGCAAAAGCATACATACATATGTTATACTCATTTTGAGACACATTCGTACATCATCGAAAGATGCGGCAATTGATGAAGCTGAGAAATTCTCTCGGTGTTGAAATAAAACTAAACTGGACGTTACGAAAGTTCGTATATTAGCATTCTTGAAAGCACTATTTTTACCTTGTCTGTGGTGCTTTTATTTCTGCAGTTACATTTTCGAGGACGGTGAGTTGCAACGAATCAATAACGATAATCTTTAATTCTACAGGTGATAATTATTACGAGAGTTTTAAAATTAAATGTCTCAGCTTCATCGAAAGCGGCAGATCGCGTACAATTCTTTATTTGTAACCAACACGGATTATCGATTGTTGTCACGTATTTTATTAATAGACAAATGCGTACGTCGCTCGTCGCTAGTCAAGAATGCAAAAGGGTATAACAGATTCGGACACGAACACTATTTGGACCGTGGAGACTTTAACAACGTTGGCAGCGCTTCGGGAATTCGACGAGCGAAATCCGTTTACTTCCGACAGACGAATTGGATCCCTTTCACCGAATTATCAGCGCAAGACATTAGAACCAGTCCGATTGAAAGAAACAGAAACGAGCGTTCTATTTTTTTAAAAAAAGGTACCTCGATACAAACCAATTTCTTTGCCTTTTCGCACATACTTTTTCTAAATTTATCAAGTGATATTAATGTTTCACTTATTCGCAGGTACGGCTCGTTTAAGGTGCACAGAAGGCACGTTTCGCGTGCACAACATTTATGGCGATGGTAATTGTATGTTCCGAGCGATTAGCTACATTCTCTGGCGGAACGAAGGCGAGCATCGATATCTGCGTTCAATGGTGTGCTTTATATGCTTCTCAAACGCGATTAGACATTCAAGCTATTTGTTATAAGACAAACTGCTCAAAATACTCGGAAGATTCTATGTCCGATTGATACGAAAAAACACTGATCTAAAATAATAACGATAGAGTATTCTAAGCAATTCATTCTTAAAACTCTGGACACATTCCACTCTACCGCGTTAACCGACTCGGAGTCAACTTGTGACTGCTTTAAACTCGAAATTTTCTACACAGTATCACAAACGCATGAAACTCGTTACAATAGATAACATGTAGTACGAATTCTGTTCGATGTTTCCTGTTCAACAGGTCGTGCAACACATCAAAGAGAATTGGCACGAGTACGGACCATTTGTGATGGCCGAATGGAACATATCCGACCGACAGACGTATTGTGATTATATGAACATGGTTGGCACGTTCGCCAGTGAGCTCGAGTGCACGGTGGCGACGAAGATGTATTACATGAACCTATCCATATACCGCGAAATCAACGAGAGACAAGAGTTAAAACGAGTCTTTCATAATCACGTTAGTTCTCGATATGAAACTGCGAGATTACTATTTACTGGAAACTCGGACAACGGTCATTATGACGTCCTGCTTCCCGACTAACATTCTTCACGAGACCAATCTCATCCGTACTCGAGTTAATCAAATTTCAAGATTTACGTGTACACCTTTTTAAAATTCTGCAAAGAATTTAAGAAGGTTTTGTCTTGGGACTCTTAACGCGTCGTAGATATATCGAAAAATTAATATTTATTTTGTTTCGAATAAAAGTTTCTGTTATACGAATCGTTGCGTCTAATTTCTTTTACGCGAAGAACTAACGGACACTTTAATCCTTGTCATTACAGTTCGTAGATTATCAAATTATCCATCTTCGTTATCTTCTGTACTGACTCAGTTTCTTCAAGTAGAAAATAACATTTATCGAGAATCGCCGCATCGGTGGGAATGGATCCATTGTGTGAGCAACGTTATTCCATAGTGAATCACGCAACTGAGAAAAGGAATAAAAACAAAGTTAAGGATTTAAAGGAAATAATTATAGTAGTGCACCGGTCGAAAAGTTTACGAGTTGAGAAGCATGATAAACATTATTATAGTTACTGCAAAATTCCCATTCCAAAAATATAGGATAAAAAGAGCAGATCCAGCAAGAACGTAAGCGACCAGGTGGGCGTTCGCTTAAATAGGAAAGTACTGCCAACGATCTCTCACTTTTGTTTTGTACCTTGTTTGATATAAAAATCTGGAGATCCAGCTGCTATTTAAAGTGCTCTGATCCGTTCTGACTGCTCGCACAATATTACGAGCTATCCGTTCCTCGCTTTGCTTCAACGTTCTGGAGAAAAACGACAGAAATTGTGTTTTTAATTTCTGAAAGTTTTACCACGAAAATATTCTTTATTTCTAACTAAATCTGATACTTAATAATTACATAATTAAAAACAATATACCTGCATTGTGCGATTGGCGAGAACGCGAGGAATGTTAGCTGACCGCTGTGATTGCCTAATACTTCCCAGAGACTTTCCATAAGACCTGTATAAAACATTAAAGAAGATTAAAAAAAATTCTTTTACGATACATTATATTGTATCGAATGGCTTACCAGCTATCGCTGCTCTAGAACCATGGTACGCGTCTTCGTTCGATACAACTGGAGTTACACCGACAATGTGAGCCCGTTTACGACACAACAATAGTGGTAAAAACGTCATGACTGTCTGTGACATAAGAGAAGCGATTTACTTTCATCTTTGTGTTTATCTTCGTTTAGCGCAGTATCAACTTATTACGAATTAGAAAGAGCGAAATGACTCTTACCCAAAAATGACTCATCAGGGTCCTGCTAGCCGTATCAAAGATATCCTGATTAGGATTACCAACACAGGTAATTAAGATATCGACTCTTCCAACGTCTTCCTTGATCTTTTCCGCTGTTCTTCGTATATCATTTTTGTCCAGTAAGTCACAGCGATAAGGTATAATCGTTGCATCATGCTCCAATGAATCGTCTGTTTTGTGTTTAGGCGGAATTTCCTGAATCGCGTGATAATTTTTTTGTAGTCTGCAGACTGTTTCATCTACCAATTTCGAGTCATTATCCATGCAAACCACGGTGCACCGATTCCTCGCGAATTCTCCCGCGAGTGATTCACCAAGAGACGATGTGGCGCCTGCTATCTAACAAAGAATCATTAAAAATCATTTTGTGAAGAATCATTTTATGTCGCAAAATGACATTCACATACTCACCACGACTACATCTCCGGTCAAATCCCTCGGCGGTTTTGGCAACGATGACTTCACTATTTTGAGAATAGCTAAAAAACCAGATAGAAGCACGCCCATCAAAAATTCAACAGTGAAAAATACCCAGAAGTTCGTCGAAGGATATTCCATTTTCGGATTTACCATCAGTGATTTATCTGTCGTAAACAGCATCGCGTCCTGAAAACAATAAAAATTGAAATATAATTCGTGCAAAAATATTTTCCGAAAGAAATTAGAACCTCGGCGGCTCGATGGTTCAGCGAAATCGAAGCTTTTATTAACCAATCACCCCTACTTGGCAAGCTGACTCACGGTGTAAGAACCATAAAATCATCGATGTCTCCACGCGCAGCGCGTGTTATCGGGGTAAGTAGACGGCCTCAACTTGCAAACCGCGGAAAGTTTACGATCCATATGACCAGTCAAAATTTCAATTACACAATGTGAATAAAAATCAGTGAAAGTGAAATTTTGACGCAACAATTAGATACGCAAAAAGGCTATGCACAAATCCGCTATTTACTGTGGAAACACGTGATACGTAGTATGGATATCAGTGCGTTAAATCAGCAACAGATTTGTATTATGCTTATATAATATCTGGGACAATTACGAGAAAGTGTTGCCCGTCTCAATGATTGCATGCGAGCGTAGAATTCAACCCGCTGCACGTGTTAAAACTATTGCACGGTCTAGTCATTTCTTCCGCGTCTGCCACATTTTTATCTTTCTCTCTACCGACGTTCTAATCACCGGCAAATTCTTACGTCTCGATCACCGAAAGAAAGTAAACTAGTTCTTAATCCGCGTATATTAAAGTGGAATGTTGGAAATAAAATATAATTGGAAATGAAAGTTAGCGATTTTTGTAAGATTCGGAAAGGGAAGTACGCTGTGGAGACAGAATTACGATAGAAATAAACAGAATTTATACCGCAGTTAACGAATAAGACCGCCCAAGTTAACGGTAAGTAATTATATCTATCTGCAATTGTGTAATTAAAGCGATTTCTGTTCTTTACGTAATATCCTACTTTAACGGTGGATCTTTATTACATTCGCTTCTTTTAATTCGATGTTTAAACATTATACCTTAAGCGATCCACAATTCTATTACGATTTATATTCCTGTGAAATGTTCTGAAAAGCGCGCTATAAAGCATAGTTAGATTTCGGAATAAGTGGGCAGAACCCTCACGTGCAGAGAACAACCTTGTAGTCTGTGAACGTGCGATAAAACTGTCTAGTTCTTGAGAAGATTATCGTGAACTTGTATCTCGATTCTTCGAGTAGTTCTCAAGGTGAACATGTACAGTTTATAGATATAGTTTCACTACGTTCGTTGCTCCGAGTACATTGAGGGTATTCGCAGACAGTAACTTGCTCACTAGCATAATATTAACATTTAACTTGAAAGCACTTTTTAGAATTGTTGACCGCACCAACTATGAAGCAAATCGACGTTTCAGGAGAAAGGAGTTGCACGGACTGAAAGCCTTTCAAGAGGGCAACCAAGTTTTAATCCACGAGCATGTTTCCCCTAAAGATTTTGTACAATGTTCGACATTATGATTATAGATATAGTTTCGTTTGTAGCTTGCGTGAAACTTTTAACATAGAGGTAAGGACACGGTACACTTTGAAACGAAATTAACACCTTTGAACCTCTGAACGCAGCGCTATTTACCTTTTGTCAATACGATTAAAAGTTCCAGTCAGTAGTCGGAGAGGTCCGGTCAAATCTATAAAACTAACTTGACAAACATTGAGATTGAGTAGTCGAGAGGAAATCCAATCTTTAACGACTGTTTCGTAATTAAAGCTCTGGCGGATAATGAAAGGAGCTAGCGGGTGAAAAGAGATATGTTAACAGGAAAAGAACCTAAAGGACCTTGATTTATGAATTTGAATAAGGTCAATGTTCTATGAACGACGCAAGGACTTCCGGGGTCTCTGACACTGTTTGACCGATTGTCCGTCACTACCTTTCCGTATTGCTTCAAACTGATTTCAATACTTTAACGCGAATCGCGTAACTTTATTGCGACTATAAATATAAGACCAAAGATTTGTTGCATGCTCAGCTTTGACCGACATCAAATAGACATTTATTTGTTTCTTTCAACTTTTTAAAATCATATTTCTATAATTTACATGAAACATCCATTTCGAACACTGAACACGAAATATCAATTGAAGGAACCAGGCTCGTTTTGATTTTCAAAATACAAGACTCGGTAAAATAAAATAAACGAAGTTTTACCTTGAATCTGTTGTGTCTCAAAATTGAACTACTGACTTTGACAAGCGTTAATATTAATGTGCACTGTCGATGCTCAGCGGTAAAAAACCAAGTAATAATTCTTCAGACTTCCCAGTTTATATCCATCGCTGTGACACTGAAATTGAATTAGAATTGTACGTCTATTGCATTAAGTACAAAGCCTTTATATTCCTTTGCTGGCTTGTAATCTGAACGTTTAAAATACTTTACTCGTTTCTTATTATATTATATGTAAATAGAATTATTATAGAATCAAAATTATTAGAATCATAAAAATTTTAAAAATGATTGTACGTTGTATCAAGGTAAACTTGACCGACGTGACAGAGAACTTTGATATTCAAATGACGAAGCCAAGTTTTTTTACCAATATTCGAGGAAAACAAGATGTTGCTAAAACAACTTATCGCCTAAAAAACGCTACGTCACTTTGTCTCTCTCTAATATATGCATTGCAAATGTTCGTCAAACTATACAAATTAATGAACAATTTATTTAATAAATATGATTTAAAGCAGTGCCGATTTACTTTTGTAAAATTATCGTGATTGCGGGACGAAAAATTCTTACTGTATTCTTTACTTAGAATACGTACCTTTTTTGTGGTAACAAAGAGCAAATTTTAATAAAATATTCGTAACAGACTAACGAGAAAACACTGCTTTAAACATTGACGAAAGGACAAACCTGTGATCACTGTACGTCAAAGGCTAACGAATTTGAAAGAGCTCGGAAGTAAACTTCAACTCTACTTGACAGTCCGAACGGTTTGAACTTGACTGATGCGCTTGAATATTCTTGAATAAGCTGAGCCATGCCATCCCCTTCATCCTCCTTCAATTCTGCTCCGCCTCTTTTCTAAATTCATCTATCCTTACGACTTCGACGACTTTGGAGAATCCTTGAGTGAAAAAAGTTTATTCTCGTTAAACGAATCAAAAAAGTCGGTCGTGATGACATAACGACCCGTTTTACAGACCGTCGATGATAAAAAATTTGACTCTACAGAACGTTTTAAAAATTCTCTTTCTTATCTCTTAGGTTTCGAATAAAATTATTTTTCAAGTTTATATGATGCGATAATAAATTGTTTGAAAATTGCATTTTTCAAATATTCGTAATATCAAATTTGCTCGAAAACGAAACGCGTATGAGAAAACATTACGAAAACAGTCAAGTACAATCATAGCCGAAGTGTGATTGTTTCACAAGCTCGTAAGCATCGTAAAATTTAATGACTTTTCTAAGGAGACGTGAAACCGTTCTGTTAGACATAAATAAATTTCTAGCTGGGAAAGAGTTTACTTGGTCTACCTGTCGACGAGGTAAACCTTTGTTCCAGGTAGTTAATACACGCGATCCACTAATGCATATAGATTTACACGCAAGGGTACCGAGGATTACAAAAGATAATTGAAGTGCTGTTGAACTGCCCCAAGTTTCAATCGGGTACGACCAGGTCACGCAATAAATACCTGATCGTAAGATCCAATTCACTACGGTATGCGAACTAGGTTGTACATCGATGATAATGAAAAAAACCTACTGGCTCTATTGTGAACACGTAATGTCGATGTCGCATCTATAGAGAAAATGATAAACAGTTTGATTACCTCATAAGCCCGTTGGCGAATCAAGTTGAATGTAAGAGTAAAGCTGCTACACGTTCCAACGTTAAAGATGTTTCTGGCAGATGTGCGCTGCGTACAAGCGAAAGGATGCATCGTGCCGATTCAGTAAGTACTTTGAACCGGTTCAGTTCAATGTCCATGGTCAAGGATTCCATGATGCATAACTGTAACATCGTTAAATTTTCAATGAATGATTGTCAATTAACGAAACATGTAATCTATATATGTACAGTGCAAATTATTGTATTAACGTTCATGTTGTAATAAATAACAATATTTTATCGAGTCTTAGAATCGTAAAGGAGATATTACATATAACCATCAGTTAGAACAGATTTAAATTATAAATAAATGATCCTAATCTCTACATTACGCAATACGACCTTCAAATGTAATAACTAAACGTAAACGATATTATAAAATATGTCATTCGTCATTCTATATAATTAGCAGTGTCACTTTAACGCGTCACTTTCGCAAGAAATGAGTGCTTCCTTTTGTTTTCGTTCTACATCTCCCAGAAAATCCAGAATAAGTCTCATCACGTTTTCAGGGACGATTCTGAAAACCATAGACGTCAAATGCAAATTTTACTACGTCGAACATACTTAACCATTGTTTACGTGATCGTAAATGTTTTAGTACACATTTTATTACGTGGCAGTGTTTACTATGAATCACTGTTACGAGAGGAATTTGCAATTTTCACGATGTATATTATTGCTGCGACAGCTTTTACGTTGATAAAAAATACCTATTAATGGCGTTTAACGTAAGAAGGCATCTTGGTATAGAATATTCGGTATAATTTCTTCTTATCGCTTTGATTACTTCTTTCGCCGCGTATTCTGGGGATACTGCCCCGAATATGTACGGAAATCTACGGTGAAAATCATGTCCCAGAATTAGGAATCAACAAAATATTCGCTGTTGCATTTGTTACCTGTATTTTGGATCCCTAGCTAGGCCAGTATCAACATAAAACGGGTATACAGTGGTGAATCGTATATTAGAAGTCTTAGAATCTAATCTAAACTCCTCCAGAAGAGCCTCCATTAATCCTATCAAATATGAACTTGTGGCTTATTTAAATAAATGTTGAAAAATATTTGTACAAACTCTATTTAAAATCTTACCTCTAACCGCGAACTTCGACGAGCAGTACGTTACTTTTTGAGACACCCCGTATATACCGCACATGCTGCACATACATACAACATGTCCTTTTCCATTTTGTATCATGCTCGGTAGGAAAGCTTCGATTGTCTATTTGATATATAAAAAATTGTTATATTTCAACACCATTTAACGCGTTCGTAAAGTATGTATTATTAATTAATAAGTATCAACCCTCGAACGACAAAGTCGAGTCAATCGTAATCCTCGTTATCGATAGATCTCAAGGTAATCAATATGTTAATCGTGATGAAGGTAAATGATAACACACCCAGAAATTTGACAAAACATTGACATTGAAGGTCTTCTCTATGATATCTGAATCTTGTTTTAGGAAAGGGCGATGATATAACACGGCAGCGTTATTAATTAAGATGGACACATCCGGTATACCTGACTTTTTCATCAATCGTACGGTTTCTTGTACCTCGATTTTTTTCGATGTGTCAATGACGAAACCGTATCCCTAGAACATTTAATACTGTATACTATAATTGATAAATCGATAATAAACAAAATAAATATCTTTTTGTTACTTCTCCACCCTTCTGTGATATTGCGCTAATTGTTGACCGATTTGCTTCAACATCAATATCCCAACAAACAACTATACAACCTAACGAAGCTAATTGAATCGCCAATTCACGGCCAATCCCATGCCCAGCACCGGTAATCTAATAGAAAATATTTAATGATCGTAATAGCAAAATCTAAATGTACATTTAATGATATTTTTATTTACCAACACTGTTTCGCCTAACAAATTCTTCGTTCGACAAGGTAAAACCATTTTAAACGTAGCAATTATCATAGCGACACCAATCCTTGCCGATAACCGGAAGAGATCGTATAGTAGATGCAAATGACCGGATTTAAAGATGCTCATAATATTAAACATCTTGACTTTTATTGATCAATTAAACAAATTATTATTGGTAATTTCTAAATATAAGGTTAATAGATGTTTTACTGTGACATAAATACAACAATGCTATACGTTTCTTGGTGCACTTCCATTATAAAATTAATTGCTTCATGACATTAAATTATAGTTTATATCGATCGGATACTTCGATTATCTTCTCGACAGATGATAATAATGGCGTTCTCTTGTTTTTGGATTATTTGTGGCACACTTCATCAACATTCTTGCTCAAAGTTTCTAGTAGAGTATTTCTCGAATCATCAAGTTTTTACCGATACTCTTCTATAGGATAAAGTAATAAATCAGACTCGAATCAAGTCAAAAGCCAACTGTAAATAAATTATAACGTATGTGGGTACATTCGATGAGTTTAAAGAGAAATTTGATCTATATTTTCGCGCCTTTATCGAACCGCGGAACATGTAGTATATAGAAGTAGCTGAGCAACGTGTAACAAATAACCTCTCATTGTACGCGTTATGAAAAGAATATTAATTTGAAGTACTGTATAATTATAAAGTAATAAATAATAAATTCTTTTAACCATTGATTCGGTAGTTTATATATAAAAAATAATATAAATAAAATCCCTACTTATTAGATTTATTTGAAACATTACCAAGCATTATTGTATAGTATCCCATCTAAACTATATCCTTACACGGCATAAGAAAGCATTTGGATTCTTCGTGGCGAAGAATGTTTTTATTCTTTAATATCTATAATAATATCGTCGATTTCTTGATTCGACAATTGTTTTCTTCTTTCGTATATTTAGTTCGTTACATGTAATCATTAAACATGGATATTCGCGGAATAGAAGTCACGAATCAATTACGAGTAAGTACAAGATCGGTACATTTAGTTAGGTGTTACACTTTTGTAGTCGCCAAGTTGTGTTCAATAATCCTGAATCTACAATTCATAGGATTTTCAACAAGTCCCTGTTTAGTCGCTCCGTGATTGTATCGTATCACTTTTGCACGAGTTTAAATCATGTTTTGTAATGTAGTTATAAGTGTTATTGCTAATGATAAAACAGTAGCATTTTCAATGTATTAGTTCATTAGTCTTTTAATTTACTGCTTTAATTACTGGTTACTGCTTTTAATTTTCTTTACGTTATCATTAACATTTACCATTTCTTTCAGAGTGCAATTCGTGCTAAACTATTGGAATTAGGAGTACGATATGATGAGGAATTACCAGATTATATTTTAGTGATGGTCGTAAACAAAAAGTCCCGTCAGCAGATGCACGAGGACTTGTATTTGTTTTTGGAAAGTTGTACAACCCCGTTTGTAGATTGGTTACATGACCAAGTATTGAAAAAGTTACAAAAGGTTACTGTAGCTAAAAAGAAATCATTAAGAGAGTTTGTACCTATGGTTGTGGTTAAACAAGAAGAGGAAAGGAAAAAGAAAAAAGCGTGTACAACTTCCTTCTTGGAAGATCAAGCTGCTAATCAAACGCCTGACAAGACTTCAAATAAAAGCTTAAAGGATGACAAATCATTCCACAAGCAGAACACAAAAGCATCCATATCTAGTCAAAAATTGGATACAAGTCAAAACAAAAATATAGATAAATCTGTAAGAAATACAAATAATGAAAATAAATCAGATGGTACTCCTAATCATATTTCTCATCAGTCTGTAGTAAAAAAAACACAGACAAACGACAGCCAAAGTATCAGTATCAATAAAGAAGTATCTACCATTGAAACTTTTAACAGTAAAGTTGGAGAATCCCATACCAATACAAAATTGGATGATAAATCGTCTAGAAATCTTAAAAGACCATTAGATACGACGAATAATCATAAAGATGGTTCAGAGAAAAAACAAAGCGAAGTAAAAAGATCAAAAATTGAGGAGAATGGTGAAAGTACAACAGAAGATAATGCAAAGAAATTGAAGTCTTGCGTGAATAAGCCAAAAGTCACCTCTGTTGTTTCTGTTAAAAATCGTTTGGGAGTGGTATCTCCTAGGAAGAAATTTGAAGTTCACAGAGAAAGAACAGACAGCGAAAGCAGATATAGACAGAATGAAAAACATCTTGAAAAACATAGATTAGACAGTAATCGTAGTACTAATTTTCAGAGGGGAAGAAATTTTGACGCTGACGAACGATTAAAAAGAAGTCGCGATATCGAGTTGAAACACAATGATTCCGATAAAATTAGTAATATTAAGACTCGACTAGGAAATACTAAAATTGATAAAATTTCTAAAAGTATTGAGTTAAAAGAGAAGGCGAATTCTAATGTAAAGTCAAGATCGGTAGAGAAGATGACAGGTACTATTAAAGATCGTTTAGGGATCGGACATACCAATAAACCATCGAAACAGCCAGGAAATAAAGAGGCTATGGAATTTAAAAGTAAACTCTTAGAACAGGACCGTGATACTTCAGTCATCAATAAAAATATAAAGAATAGATTGGGACCATTAAAGAATAATTTCAAGCCAATAGGCATTAAAAGTAATTTTTCTTCGTCGATTAGAAAATCTCAAAGTAGCGAAGACGACGATTACCTCAATTTGGGCGCGGAGGAAGAATTGGACGATGATGCACAATCTGTGGGAAATTCTGGTCCTATTAAATCCCATATAATAGCTGTAAATAAACCTATGCCAATCAAAAGTGACAGAAAACGATTAAAACCATTAGAGAAAATGAATAAAGAATCAAGTGACATAGAAGATATCGAAGAAACTAAGATACCCAGTAAAGTAATTGTAACACCAAGGCCATTGAAACCATTGCAACCTGCACAAAAACGGGCTACACAGTCACTTTTATTAAGAGCTGTTGCAGAAGCAAATCAGTCTGTGGTTACACAAAAAAATCCAGAGCCATCTTTATTGGTGTGTATAAAATGTAATACATAAGTTTTCATTATAAAATAATTTTACCATTATAAAATAATCTACTGTTACTTTAAATATAAATATCAAACACAATTTATTTTCTTTAATACATTGGTTTTCGTAGGATAAAAAACAAATGTTAAAACGCCTTAAACCTGCTGCTGCAAGAGATGTAGGCCAAACTTTGTCGGTACATCTCAATTCCAATAAGAGATTAGTAATGGAAAAAATCCAAGTAGAATTAAATACAGATATCGCAGAAGCAAAATCAAGTCCTTGTAAGTATACTTTATGTGTGTATGTGTAAATGTACATAACACCTAAAATTATTTCTCTAACATATTTAGTATTATACGGTCTATAGATGTACCGCAACCAGTTTCCGAGGAGCATATGGGAGTCATAATGTCGTTATTTCAAAGGAGCGACGATAATCAGAAATTTTTAGTTACATTGAACGGATATAACAACAATCTTGTGAACGAAAAAACTATGTCTGATGACGATGAACGTTTGGAGATGGAGGTAGTTAGTAACGACAGTCAGTTAATGGTACTTGCTTTTATTGAATTCTATTTAATTTTTCAAATTTTCCTTTATCTTCCATACTTTCAGGTAAACGAAGACGATGAACTTGCACTTTCAACAATTCAAAATGATATATATGTCCAAAATGAATCAGAAACGTCTGTTTTTCAAATAACAGAAGCAGAAGAAGAAGGTGATGTGAAGGAAAGAACGGACGAAAGTAATGAAAATTGCAACACCGAAAATGTCGAGAAAACCGAAGAACCACCGAGAAGGAGAAGAAAATTAAGCCCAATCATTTATAACCGATCCCATTCGCCAAGTCCCGCAGAATTAAAGACTAACACGTTAATAACAAATTCAGTATTGACAAAACGTAAGCAGTGCAATTACACTTCTTTACTTATTGCATATGATAGATGTCCAATATTATTTTTGTCTGTAGGTTTAGAAAAAAAAACATTAACGGAGAATCCAGTGACTGTTATAGATAAATCCAAGGAAAAGTGTAGATACTGGCCAAATTGTACATTAGGAAATAAATGCTCGTATCTTCATCCTGTTGTTATGTGCAGGTTGCTTTTCTTACTATTCGATAAAGTTTTATTTGCTCTCTTAATTATGATTACCGTCTGTTTTTCTCAATTGCAGCGCGTTCCCGGCCTGCAAGTTTGGAGACAAATGTGCTTACAAACATCCCAAATGTAAATTCGGCTTATCTTGCACAAAATTGGGGTGCGTGTTCTCTCATCCCGCTCAGCAATGCAAATATCATCCTTTTTGCACGAAACCGGCCTGTCCATATTCGCATCCCATGCCGGTAGCTGCGGAATCTTCAAGTCAAAGGGCCAAATTTACTTGGCGTAGACGAGATTGAGTCGTAATCTTGTGCAAATTGTACAGATTCCCTTTTCTTCTAGCGATGCATTGATCTGCACATTATCAAGAATACCGTCGCAACAGTAAACGTTTCGGTTTCGAGTAACTGAAATTAATACACAGCGGAGTCTCGTTAGACGGCTATCTCGCTGGATGGGGCTGTAGGCGAGGGAAAAATTGTGGAAAGGTTGTCGTAAATTCGGTATCGGAGTCAGATACGTACTAGCATTCGTTGAAAAGGGAGCCTTATAGCGGGGCTGCACTGTACGCGAGGAAAGTAGCAATAACGTACTTGTAGATTGCAACGTAATCGGTAGTGACTACTTCATTCGCTATTACAAGTATTTTGTTTACGATCTCTCGTTGATGATGGTATTCTTGCTAATACATTAAGTAGCACTCTACTTTGTACAAACCATTCGGTATACTTTCGATTACAAAATGTTCGAAAGAAACTTCGACTTTCATTTAATCTGTATTATAATATGTATACACTAATATACATAAACGATCACGTAATGTCGACTCATAGCAGTTTGCATTTGTTCAGTAATGATCATGATTAGCGATGTAGCTTTATTCGTTCTTCGTCACGGGTTACGAACACTATGCTATCTTTTACGATTATTCTTTCTTTTGCGAATCCAGTCGAATGGCTTATAAAATTGTATTCATTATATTTGGTAGGTAGCGTGTAAGTAAGCATCGAGAAAATATTATTATTCAATATTAATATGCTTTTGACAAGTAATATAATAATTGTTGAAAGAAACGTGTTTTCCATTCACTCTTCTTGCCTTTATTGTATTGAGCAAGTTCTCAATTGTTTTCGCGTTCGAAATTCTTAACGAGCTCCATTTATGTACTCGATGGCTGTGCAATGACTCTCACGATGATTTTATTTAACGGGGATAATCGTTCAAGAAGAAATTACAAAATATACCTTTGTGTAACGTGTAATTTATATCGTGCGTGAGCGTAGGGTAAACGCTTCGAGCACTTTATCGTTTATTATTACCGAAAAATCAAATGTTAATGAACACGTACAGACTCCTTAAGTATAACTACGTATTAATAAACCTTGTATAAACGACTATAAATACACTATTGCGTCTGTAAATTATAAGAAACCTTTTGTCATTTAAGCATTTCCAGATGAACTTAAACGTACATTTGCTGCAACTTCGCAACTAACTAAAATATCTACCTGCTGTGCAACAATGACCGACCTATATTATCGTGAATCACTCAGCTGTTTAATCAGTATCTGCAGAATCGTCTTGCAAATCGAAATAAAAAAAGAAACAAGTGATCGAACTTATTGAAACGTGAAATCGACGTACCTATGACTACAGAACAATCTTTCCATTTGTTACATTATAATTTCAATATTAGGCATTTTCTATTTATTACCCAGCTGGAGACACCAATGGTAACTATTGCGAAGGATTCTGTAAACGTATAGATACATTTAGATGTTCATTTCCGGTGGCTGTTTATCTATAGTCCAAGTGTCCCTTTTGTACTTCATAGCATTGGTTCAGTCCAGTGATGTCATGTAGGCTTCAGATCCAAAAACAATCTGAGCAAACAGCGTGACTCATTAAAACCGTTGCATGCCTTTTCACATCGAACGATGCACTCGGAAGAAAAACGTGCAAATGTTTTAAAACAATTTTCATCGAAGATACTCGTTTCACATTTTTATCTAATTATTCAGTTTGATTATAGCTTATCGTTCATCGACAATTAAATATGCATAAACACATGTCCATGTTTCATATTTAGTGTTCTAAAATAAGGATGTTCACCTACAGCGACTTAATCAATTATTTTCAAGATGAATTAAAATAAATAATTAATTTCGTTAGAAAAATAATAGGCACAAGTATCGTTAATCTTTCAAGTGGGCGCTTAAAATAGAAATTGGCAAAAACTTAGTTTGTTCATCGTGAAATTGCATTAATCGAAGCGAACTGTGAGAGAAAAAATGATTTCAGAAAATACCCTGTATGGTTGTGGATGTATCCTCTGGGCTTATCTTATCTCACAGAATTGACACGGTGTCTCTCGTCAGAACTCTCCGTAGTTCCGTCCAGTTTTCTTCTCTCGGGGCTCGTGGTTAGTTTAATAAATCACGCGAAACTGCACGTACACAACCGAATAAACTAAGCTTTCCAATTTTTCTTGTCAAAGTGCTCGTCTACCAAAGAAACGTGCGTACACGGGCAAATCTCCTATCTCTTTGTTCGACTACGAAAAGCGGTGGTGACTCGCGATCGTGATTTTCAACGATGTTTCGTTGAGATAACTTCTTGTCAGTACGTGACTCTTTCTTCTTCTTTGCGTTACTACGAATCTATGGGAATGAGAATCAATTCCGGAGATCCTCGTTGAAAGGTGAGCAAGATGCGACGAATTTTCTTCCTTATCTCTTAACTTGTCTTTTTCTTGCCAAATCGTGTGCACTGTAGTGTATTTATTAAATTTATACGTGGTACAAAGATCAAGATTTTATGTGAATTCAGAGATGAGTGTATCTATCCGTAAAGAGTATTATTTTTCATACGAAGAACGCGTACATTTTTTAACTTATTTTTCTTGTAAGATCGTGCATTTCATAGAATATTTATTGATTTAATTTCTCCATAATTGCTGGACATTGTAAAATATTTATTCATACGCGATACGAGTATAACGAAGTTCGACAGATTGAGATATGTACCGTATCGTTCAGGAAAACCTGTTGACTACCCCATCAGAGATTGAAGCAGCGCAACATTGTGAAGTCAATATTTCCAAGAAACGACTAGGAAAATTGCAATCGTGTAACTTGTTACGAAAAGGTTCGGTTTGACCGCATCGAGAGGCAAGGGTGGGGGGCAATATCCACCCTCCTCTCTAAAAGCGGTTGAAGGTCGTATAAAGCTGCTACGGCGATTATCCTGATCATTGAAATCCTTGACCTGGTAGCGTTATTCTCGAAGGACACTATTTACCTGAAGTCCACGATGGGTATTCACCAAATTGAGAAGGAGCAGAAGCTAAATCATGCTTCGACGGATCTCGAGAACGTGAACAGAAACGAGGTTTGTGACCTATTTCTTCTTAATATCTATTTCCTAATAGCTGGTTGATTAATGATATTGGAACGTGATTGCGCGTTGAAATTCTTCGAGAGTAGATCTCTTGTTGAAATCAGTTTTCAGTCCAAATTTCTTCATACGCTTTAGTTTGAAATCAAAATATTTGTGGATGCTTCTACAATTTTGTAGTTGTTAAATTCTGTAATTCTTACCGCCATCAGATATTAAATTTAAAAGTTCAATCGCCATCGTTAAAAATTTCGAAATTGATTCGCATTTTTAGAAAGATTTGACCGGTATCGCCGAGATTCCCGAATTTCGTGAGCATAGCGATCTATACACCGAGTACCAAGATTTCCCGGAGGAGAAAATTTGGTCGCCGCAGGACGATGTGAACGAATGGGTTCCCTTCTACGTCTTTATGGCTCGTTCAGTATTGACTTTCGTCCAAGAGAGGCAAGGTATTTCCAACCGAGAAGCAATGGAGAATTCGTGCACCGGTTATGCGGAACAATACATCACGGATGTTCTTCACGACTCGGAATACTCTGCAGAAATCGCGCTGAAGACGTTATTCACCAAAGAGTTGCCACGAAAGCTCTGCACACGCTGGACAGCGAATGATATCGTAAGCATCGCGTAATCTCGATGATTTAATCGATCGAGTTTCTTAAACGTGCTGCGTCGTTCGGAATTAGATGGTATACTCTGTTACAGGAACTTTTTATCAAAGGAATTACCAAGCACGGTAAAAATTTTACGAACATACGTAAGGATTTACTGCCACAAAAGGATACGGTACGTAATACTTATTCGAACAGTCGTGTTACATCTTTTCTCTCGGTTTTTAAAGAAATTCTCGCTAAATGAGTACCTTGATATTTTTACAGAAAGACATCGTGGACTTTTATTATGCATGGAAATGGTCTGAATCGGCAAAACAATTAAGAAATTGTCGTCATTCACGCCGCGCGAAGAGCAAACGTTTTCCATCGATTGGCTGTATTTTCGGCGAACAAGCATCTTCGAAAATCGTAACTCGCAGCGTGACTGCGAAACAATCTCTCAAAAGGAAAGAAGTATCAATCGATCCTGTTAAAAACGAACTGTTGCACGATATCACGAGTATCGCAAATTCGGAGAAAGAATCACCTGATAATGTATATACCGATGCTCAAGAACACTCGATCAAGGTGTTACCTGACGTTGGAAGCGTCAAGGGTCGAAGAAAATTGAAAGAAAATTCGAATAACGTTCGTAGAAAGAGAAGACGAAATGGTTCATTTATCGTTTGATATCTGAACGATCGAATAGAAAATATTGTACCTTGAAACGTGTTCTAAAATTATCGAGATGTAATTTCAACAGGCGAAGAAGAGACGAATCTAGGCGTCCACGTTTGTCGTGTTAAATAGTTCATTGTTTCGTACTTTGTGTATGTGATAAATGTTTAATGTTCTCATTTTTTGTACTCATAATAGTTCCTAACGTGCAATATGCGAGCATATTTTCTGTAAGTGTAAAAAATACTGATTATGATATAAATATTGCATCATCGCTTAAACTTTAAGCATAATTTTATAATATAATAGTGGGATATTTTTTTCTTTTTAATCCCTGTACCTGAACAAGCGAAAAATTTTGATGGGATTCAAACAAAAACCATCGACAAATGTTAATTGAAACAAGGCGGATGAATTTTTTAATATTTCAATTTATTTCATACGATCGGTCGTTAAATAAAATTCTCGTAATTAGATGCTAGCACACTGTAAGAACGTAATGGCGAGACTTATAGATGGTTTCTGTACACTGTACACGAAAACTCGCAAGTCTACACAGCGAATAGCGAGAGACTTTTTAATGGATAATAATAATGATAATAATAATAATAATAATAATAATAATAATAATAATTACGATGATAATAAAAGTGATAATAATAATAATAATAATAATCATAATGTATAAAACATAATATGTCGCTACTCGAGAATATTCCTGTTCCAGCCACGTCGAAGTATGGCACATTTGTTACAAGATATTTTTTAACCCTTGTGCTAATAGACAAAATTTTTACGGTCGTTTAACGTGTTGATATCCGGATCATCTTTCCACAAAATAACGGAGGCATCCAAGTATTTCTAGTATAAACATTACACGAACGTAAAAATGTCCAAATAATAGAAATCTATAATCGTTTATAAATATTTTAATATGAACATAGTAATTCCGTTAATGTAAATTAAGGTAAGTATGAAAACGAATTATTAACACAAGGATTAACGCCGTAATTTTGCTATATATTCCTGAATCGGGGATCTGCAATGTATAATTGTTCGTCAACTTAAAAGACTTACGAGTACAGAGTACGATAACGTGATAAAATGGTATTTCTTCCGAAGAATAATAAATGTTCGTGTTTAATTATTTGCGAAAGCTGATTAAAAATTAACACTTTGACGGTCGTATATTTCATAGAATCTATGACTATTGTACTTTCGCGTCTTCCGTCTTACTAAACTAAGGCTTATTGGTAGATTTATATTTGACTGCTGGTGTATTGTATTGTAAGCTGTGGGAGTTACCATTTTTTAAGGTACAATTCGTGCATGATACGGTAAATATAATGTAAAGATTCGTATACCGATGCGACGTTACAAATACGTGAAACCGGCCATCAAAGTGTTATAATAATTTTGCAAGCAAAATTAGGTGGAATTTAAATGATACAAATTTGATGAAAAAAAAAGAAAGAAATAAAAAAATAAAAGGAACTCGACGAACGTTCGATTGCACACACAACACTCGCATTCATTGTCAATTTTACTAAATAATCTCGCGTATTTATTATATAAATCTTCATCTTTTCGTCGCATTGGGGCACTTTCGAAATTCTCCTCTCTTCATCCTTTCTTCTTCCAATACTTTATTACTTCCGTCTCACTCGCTATCCAGCGATTACGAGAATTTTAAAAAGAACGTATGTATATACAACAGAAAAGGCCGAGTTATTAGAAGTTGAAGGCGGAAGATTTCACCTAATTTCTTCTTTTTTTTTTATATAAATTATCCTAGGCACAATTATTACAATCTGTCGGATTGAATCTTTTCCTCTGAAGAACACGAGCCACCGTTCGTCGAAACGTTTCCTCTTCGATCAAACGAGAATATCATTCATTTTCATTCAAATTTCGAACAAATACAATTATAAGATTTATCGTATCGTAGGAGGAAAAACAGTCAACATTTAGTTGTTCTTACGATAATTGTACGAGGGACACATTCATCCTTTCTCTCATTCTTACTTCCTCTCTCTCTCTCTCTCTTTCTCTCTGTCTGTTTTTCTCTCATTCTTCTTGGCTACGTAAATTCCTTTTACCCTTTTAATTGTCCTCACAGTTTTCGAGCTCTTATCGCGAAAGTTCTCGCAAAAATCGCGACGATTACGATCGGTGCACGTACAAAATGGAACTTACAGCGTATCGATTCTCTTTCGTATGTTTAAGTATTCTTTTCTTTTTTCAACATTTTCCCTGTCAACAACTTTGTTATACAAAGTGTTTGAAAAGAAGGAGATTCAATACTTGTTTCGATCGAGATTCTTCGGGTTTCGACCGAAAACTGATCCCTCTGTTTACGCGTCACAGAGGTTTTATACGCGATTTCAATTTCATACTGCATCGGTTCTCGCGATTATAAACGAAATGAATTGAAAATATGCAACTTAAAAAGAAATCACGCAGAACAGATACTTCACGCATACACCGAGGGACCAGTGTACATATTTTTTGTAATTGTATTATATATTCTATAAGTATTGAAATAATGAATGGAAGGTGATTTAATTTGCGGATCGCGTTGAATGGCATAGACGGCTTAACGTTTCAAAATCATTCGGCCATCCTTTGATGCTAATGTACAATACAAAAATTTTTCAACGCTTTACCAAACAAAAGGGAAATTACGCAGACTATGATCGTCAATCATTTTGCTCGCGCTCCTTCTTATCTTTTACAATAGCGAATAACATAAATATATTATTAGAAGTAATAATAAAAGAACATAAATGTATTTCGCTCGAATGCGTTACTCCTCTTTAACTCCCTCGATGCAATTGTTGATTGTTATATAAAACATGGGCAGTAATTGGCGACAGTCTTTTTTTAGTGCCACTCAAAAATGGCAGAAACCTAAAATTAATTTTGTATTTATCTAAACTTTACGTATACCCTCGTCGCGATCGAATATTTAAAAATTTTCTAATACGATTCTTAATCATTATTCGTGATCTTAATTTGCGTAACTTATATGTGTAGCTTACAGTCGTCTCGAGAGAGTTAAACACGTATCGTGCGATAAAAAATTAAAACATCGCCGATTCTCTTCGAAGAACGATCGAACTTCTATATAAGAAAAAATCGCGAGATACTGTTTCAGCAATGACAGACTCTCTGTTCTTGCATTTACCCTTCCATGCGATATCTCGAACGCAACGTATAATTTTTATATTAATTTCACTTTACAATAATTATAATAATATATATATATATATATAATATATAATATAATAATATAGTTACAAATAATTATTCGTAATATTTATTTGAATATTTCACTAGATTTGTAAAATTGTCTCTTTCGTCCGCGTTTAAGCTCAACGTCGCCAAGATGTGAAGGCAACTCTACGTTGTTCGTCCCTTCTCTCATTTTTTCTTTTTTATTTTATCACAGGAGCCCATTATCTATCGCGTTTCAACGCCACAATTTCACGCATTTCATCGAGTATCGTATGACGTAACAGAATGGCGAGTGAACAAAAGCAATGCATCCTCGAATTAAATTAAATGAGAATTTATCGCGGTGCACAAAATAAAGATCGTTCGATGAACGTAAAAATAAATTCAACCGCATCATCGAGATCCCTATCCTAATCGATTTTTTCGTCCAACAGTCGTCCCGAGCTCTCTCCCCCTTCGAGCCATGAATCTTTCAAACGTTCAGGGGAAGAAGGCAGCTGGAAAGGAAATACGAGGCTCGATAATCAGTCCTTGCGCTACTCGTATACACTCTTTTCCGTTTCTACATACACTCGGTGGCCATTGAAATTCCTGTAGTCGTCTTCGCCTCTGTTACGCCACTGTACATTTTTCTTTATCAAAAATGTACAGAAAATTTTAATTGAAGGGTTTAGTTTCTCCGTCGTTAATTATAGTTATACTATTGTTATATTATCACGGATGAGGATGAAGTGGAAAATTGTTGGAATTGGTACCGAGTAGAAATTGGTATCGTCACGCAGTGTATGGTCAAATGTTATATGTATAGCGAAAGATTAGGTCGTCGCGTTTCTTCACCATCGTAGGGCATGCGAATCCAGATCGATCAGCGGAATATCAAAAGAGAATACTTTTTAACCGAAACATTGCCAATTCCAAGAATTTTTCATTACTATAACTCTATAACCCGTGACAACACGACGACTCGTTCTTAATCCAAAGAATGGCTCAGAGAAGTGTTAGCGAGGCTCTAAATAATCTCGAATCACTATCGAAATTGAGCCGACCATGCCATTCGTCCTGAAGGCACGCTCGTCAGTCGTGAAAAGTGCCCAGAAGTCCGTTCTCTGTTCTAACGACGAGTCCAGTCTTCACCTCGTTTCGGGTTAAGCGAAGGTCGACCTCTTCCCATTTTTTAAGAATACACGCGTGTTCGCGAAGGATTGAAAGAACGCGCGTGTCTACATCAAGAGTAACACTCGTCGTCCTCGGATCTGGGTCAAAATCACGAGGCTTATCTCGTTCACCGATTCGTCGAGGACACGTGGCAACGCTCGCGAATTATATTATTTACATTACAGTATGTTCTGGGAAACACCACATGATCACAGCCACTCGGTGAGACAGCCACCGAACCACATAACCACTATTGGGACGAGATACGTTGTCAGGGCACGTGACAGAGACATCTTCTGTCTGTTCGCGCCATTATCCACGGCGGACGTGCCGTTGTTATTGTTGTTGTTCGCGGTGGTGCTTATCTTCGGCTCGACGTCGATTCTCGGAGGCACCGCTTCCGGATTCACCACCGGTGGAGGCTGTTTCGTTATTTCCGGTGGCAAGGATTTAGGTTCGTAGCCTGAACCTTCCTTGAAACCGTCCTCGTCGTCGGTGATCGGATCTTGGTCCGTGGTGTCACCGGATCCGCTTCCTGAACCGTTCCATTCGGTGTCCTCTGAAATTGATATGCAACATCGGTGACACCGGTTCGATAGAAGAGCGTGATGAACGGTTTGACGAGTTTGGCAGAGAGAGGATTTTCTTGAAAGATCGCAGGAGGTGTAGAGGTTGGATGTGTTCTTGTTGGGCGGATTCCTTGGATATTCTCGAATAAATCCCGACGACGTTCAGAAATCGAAGTAAAAGGTGCGAACATGCTACATGCTTATTGAGTGGCGATCGCGAAGTCAATGATGGTTTAATTCTGTTTTCTAATGTTCGTGGATGTACATAATCGCGTCGGTTCGATATCGTAGGAATGAACTAACGGGGTTGGCAACGGTTTCGATGGAAGCGAATAATTAATTATCGAGTAAACATCAAACTCAAGGGAGATCAATCTATCCGTTAGCGGAATTTATCAAGGAACATGCAACTCACCTGTGTCTATCCAATCGACATCTTGACCATTGAACGCGGTCTTCAATCTATTCGTGATGGTCGTCAACGCGAAGATTTGATCTTTCACGACCATCGACCTAAATCCCGAGCTCCTCACTTCCGGATTCAATGTTTGAAGCTCTCCGTTCGACGATACTGGATATATGTACCTATAACAACCAGCAAATCCAGTGAATTGAAATTCGAGCGAAGAAAAATTCGAAAGCTTTCAGAAGTATAGGAGAGACAGAAGTTCGGCGAAACGCGATAAGACGACGTAGAGTTTTCGAAGAACGAGCAATCGACTTACTTGTCTACGTGTGTGCCGTTCCAACACTCTTTCGTATTGCTGGGTGGAACTACGAGACCGTCGTTGCACAGCTTGTAGGGTAACAAAACCCAAAATTGCCGGGAATCTCGGACCTTCTGCCTCGTCTCTTTCACGAGTTTATCTAGAATCGCGGCAGTCGAGGCACGGTCCTCGGTTAACGTTTCCTGATCGAAGTTCAGCGACTCTAGCTCCAGTTCTCGATTATCTCTTCGTCTGCGTCCACCCAAGACTGGTCGACCGCAACCGGAGAACACCCTTTGCGAGACTTCTTGGCTGGTCTCTTGAAAGATCATTATCGCTTCGGAGATTTTCAAGTTGATGGGTTGTACCAGCATCTCGATGTTGAAGGGACCCAACAATCGGTCTGCCACCTTGTCCACGGCCTCTGTTGAATTTGTAGAAATCGATTCGGTTAAAGCATCGAAACGATACTTAATTCGATGGTCAATTAAAAAGGGTCTGACAGCGATTACAAAGAAACGGTTCTGTCGATTTAAAAAAAAAAACTTCTTATCGATCGATCCGAATATAAAGCTTTTAGCTAACCACGCCTCGTTTTTCGAAGGAAAATCAATAGAATCTAACCAGCTGGATGATCGGAACGCGAGAAAGGCGAAACTCAACTTCCAAGGATTTCTGACGCGATATTCCGAGGAACGCGAGTTTTCCGCATGATTCCTCGGCCAAGTTTCTCGACCAAGTTTTCCCACGCGATCGTCGATAAATAAACCGACAGCAGCGATCGCGTGCAATCGCGATGGAACAATGCACGGAAAATTGCTCACCGACGAAGTGGTTCCATTCAGCATCCAGAGCCGCATGCTGGGCCAAGCAACCCTTCATCACGTTGGCACACATGTCACCGCATGCTAACACGTTCCCGGTGATCCCACTGCACGACGGACAAACTGTCATCCTGGTGAGTGCAGCTGCACAGTCCGCGGACGGTTTCAACTGCAAGTTCAACAAAAAAATATTACGATTTCCGAGATAATAGCGGTCGACGCGACGATAACGGTTCTGTCTGGACGAAGACTATCGGACTATTATCGATCGTTACATCGATAATTTCGCGTTAAAGTATACGACATCCATACCGCTTGCATATTCTTCAGTACATCGGCGGCAACCGTGAGCGCTTGGCTAAAGGCTCTGGTAGCTACGAAGGATCTCTTTATCTGCACGCTTAATTTCTGTGGAACGTCGTCGAATGGTCTCATCTCTTTCATGTGTTCCCCCAGACATTCCAAATACTTATTGTCGAAGCGGTATTGGCCATTGAGCACGATGAACATCTTCTGATAGAGGGTGCTGAAGAAATTGTCCATCAGATCATCCAGATCGACCTGGAGCACAAAGTTCCACAGAAATTTAAAGTAAAAGTACAAGTAGTTAAATAATTATACGAAAAACGGAAACCAAAGAGTAGAACAACCATCGAGGATTCGTTTTAATTTCTATTCCCGGCTCGATATTTCGGTGCATCGATCGCACAATTATTTCGGGATTATATTCCCCGTGCAGTTCGATGGACGTACGTATTACCGAGGTGAACCGACGAAAAGAAAAAAATTGTCAGAGAAACGAGAGAGCTCCGATAAATTCGTATCCTATGGATGATACGCCATAGACACGATAAATCGTCGACATAAATTCGTTACCCGAATGGATGCGCGATCGCGACAATAATATATTCATGCAGGACCATTTTTGAACGTGCTATCGTGGCATGGCAACCTGAATAGGTCCAAGTGGCGCCGTTGAATAATTCCGAACGATTTGAATGACAATCAAAATGTCGTCCCGATTCTTCTTCCTTTCCTTTCTAGCCGTTTTTGGACACTTTCTTTGTTTATTTCTCTTTTTTAATCCTCCGTTTCATTCGCCCAACATAATCGGTGCGACGCGACGCGATTAATCGATTCGATTTGAGCGTAACGCGTGCCGCGAATAATTAATTATTGCGTTTTATCTCCTTTCTCTAGCAAAAAGAACATTTTTTAGCCCTCTGGATTTAAAGTCGCGTGGACACTACCCTAAAGAACATTTTTTGCCCCTTACTAAAAAACGCCAAGATCCCCGAACGTCAAAAGCATCGATTAAACTCGCCTTCGCCACCCCTATCGTCGGCTCTCGTTGCTCGCGGTTAAACTCCACTGGACAGGCTCGTTTCTGACCGATTCCGAAAGTTCCGTCTACGAGCCAGTGCTGCCGTAGCAGCACAAAAGGAACACGGGACGAACGTACGAGGGTGGATTTCTTCGGTCTTTGATAATCGAGCCTGGCTACCCCTTATCGATTTTATCGCGGGAATTTTATTTGAAACGTTATCTCTCGAAAATGTTGTTTGAAAGTTGATACACCGAAATTCGCCCCGGTTTCTAAGCGATTAGTTATTGTTAAGACATGCACACGGTATAATAAAGTTATCGGAAGATGTAAAATAACAGATCGAAACGATGATAGAAGTCTTACGATATCGGCTGATCGAGAATCACGATTTCTACTGTATTTATCGATCAAGTATTTCTGACCAGTTAAAGATAAGAAAGATAAACGAAAACTCACCGTTCCCTTGGTGTAATAATTTTCCAGCTCCGTAAAGAGATCCATGAAAACGTAAGCGTTTTGTTCATAAAGAGTGCCATAAGTTTGCTTGAACATCTCGTGGAATCTACTTTTGCTATTTGCGAGGAGGTTCTTAAAGAAAGCTGTAACAAACAAATAAACGATAGAAAGAACATCGCACCAAAATGTAATTCAAGCAATATACGTTGAATAAAATCGATTCTATCGCGAACAAATTCTTCCTTCCCGCGTTTATGCATTACAAAATGCCAATCAATCTATCCGATCGTAAGGTCGGGTAGCAATGCTAAATGTAATTTCCTTAATTGCAATGTTCCCCTACACCCTTCGAGCTTGCTGATTCCGTTGTTTTAAATATTCTCGCCGCACGATAATTACGAATGGAAAGGATTCGCATCGAGACGAGACGAGAAGAGACGAGACGAGTTGGGACGAGACGAGACGAGATGAGACGAGACAGACACCTTGTTACTGGAAGCACGCGAATCAATTACAGTCTCGATCCCTCTTCAACCGACCGATCACGCGTTAACAATGTTTGCTTCTCGATAGCGCGTAAGACGCTTCCTCGTCATCGTCTCTGTCTTCTAATTTACAAGCGTTAATCAACTGTTACTTCACGAAATATCGCCTTCACATTTTACAAGGGTTAACGAAAGTAATCGCATTTTATGTAATGTATGTAATAAAGTCACGTTTCCGTTTCATTAATATAAACGAAATCCACTTTTGTTTGCCATTAAAGTGGAAAGAAAAGCTTGATTAAAAAATGCAAATTCAGATTTTTTCAAGCCACTTCGGTCACAACAGACAAGTGTTCGCGGCTAGTCTTATTTTACCCCAACGGTGGCTACACCACCCTCGACGCGTAACCTCGCGAACGTCAGAGGACTGAACCCGTTCTTATCGTCACTTTAGCCACGAAGAATGTGATTAAAATTCCTTTTAACGACAAGAGAGCAAGAGAGAAGAGGTACGAGTCCCTGTGTAACGAATCGTCGACGGCGTGGAGCGGCGGCGTCGTCGACGCCCGGTAAAAAGCCCTGGAAGCTGCCGTGTGAAAGGGGAAGGAAGCACTTAGCGCCGCGACGACTGGCTAGAAACTTTGTCGGCGCGGTGCTTTTAATTCGCGATACGCGCGTCTGTCGTCTTCTATGCGTCTACGGGTCACGACTAATTTTCCTCTGTTTTACGCGAAATTCTGCAAGATCTATTTAAAGCGAAAACTTTTTTCGCTCGTTCTTGCCGCTGCACGTTATCGCAGCGTAACTGCATGTATATCGTAATGAATAAATGACGAAGCATCGAAGGAAATATCGCGTCTGTATTTCGTGATCGGTTTTCGGAAACTCCGAAACTTCTAGTTCTCTTCGGTTATTTCTTCAAGTTGTTTTTTCGTCTTATTCCGCCTACCGTCTCTATCGTACATATTCCACGCGTCATCGCTCTCTTCCTCTCTTTCCCTTGTACCCTCTGTTTCACACTATCTTCCAACCCTATCCAAGTCTCGGCACTTTCCACCGGCTTTTGCTCCCTTTCCAACGCTCTTTCTCTCTGTCAGCGTACTCGTAAGCTCGCCGAGTGGCAGGTAAAGTGGGTACACGTAGCTAGATGCGGCTACGTGGGTAGCTGGCTCAAAGGGAAGCACGACGACCGTCAGAGAAACCGTGGTCCGATGGAAAGGGCACCAGAAAGATTGAAGCTCGAACAGAGTAGGCAATGGTGGCGCGAACTCGCGCGCCACGTCGCGCCGCCAAGTAATTTCGTTAATGAGAATCGTTAAGGGGACTCTGAGGTTTTCACCGTGGCTCCGTCTAATTTCCGTCGCGATCGCCGAACTCGCTCGGCCCTTGATGCACTCCCTTCGTTTCACCCATTAACCACCGACGATCCTCTCAGAGGACAGTTTGCAGTTTCCTTCTACTCTCGAATCGAGATCGAGTGTTCGTCAAATCGTTGAAACGGTCGTTCCGAACGACGATCGATCGCGCGCCTACTCCTACGATCCGCCGAGAGGCCCCTACACACTTAGTTACACCGCGCAGATGCGATTTAACTCTACGTGAAAAGATTTTAAATGTCAAAGGCACGGCTTGCCTCGAGTCCGATGCCGGTAATTGTACTATTTTAGAGAATATCCTTTCGAAACGAATAGGTTTAATGAAAAATTCTAGCTCGGTTCACGAGGGATTACGTTAAACACTGCAGGTTGAGATTCAACATTTTTAAAGCTTTCCGGGGCAAAAGTGGATAACGAGTATTAAAAAAGTTGGCGAGTAACGAGATTGACGAACGTTGGGTACGGCATCAAACGGGAATTACGTGGCCGGATAAGGGGGATGGGGATTAAAAGATTAGCAAAATTACCGCTCCAACGCATCCATCTAGTCACCATACGAGAGGTGTATTCTGAAAATTTCTTCAATTGTTTCTTCCACGCTCTAGTCATCCTTATTCGCGCGAAATCGTGAATCATGTGTGCTTCGACAGAATAAAGTAGTAGATGGAGTTTCTTCGACCACTTCTTCGAGTTTTCGAACAAGTTCCTTCTAGTTTCGAGCGATCGACCGATCGACGAACGATACCCTACGATTCCAGCAACTTCCCTAAAACACCTTGTGGCAGGTGAACGGTTTCTCTTGATTTTGCACCCTCTTTCGAACGCGATAGAGCTTTGGCCCCGAGAACCGCCTTCACACTTTGTCTCTCTTTCATTTTAATTTCGCAAAGAAATTTATTCGTGACTACATAACGGACAGGTAATTGAACCGAAATAGAAGAAACCAGAGGAGGGGAAAAGTGATCCATGCGAGGTGACGCGAGGAAGCGTAGACGTCGAGTCGCCATTACCGTAGAAATCTCATTTCGAGACGCTTCTTCGGGTGTCGTGGCTGGAAACCTCGTTCCCGCCTGTCGACACCACTTGCCCAACCGGCGTCGAGGACGTCCGGCCGATTAAACTACTCTGTAAAGTCCTTTTGTGACCGAGAAGCAGCATAATTGACAGGGATGTTCGATTTTCTAGATCGATCCATGGACGGCGCGACGACGACGACCAGTTTCTTTCGCGTCCGCGCGTTTATTTCGTTTTACGACACCCGACTCCCGATTATCGTCGGCTATTCCATCAAGAGACTACGTCGGGAACTTTATCCGACTATTTGTCGAAGTTCTGTTCGCGTAAAGGCAAATTTCGAAATCGAAAACGAAATAAAAATGACGAGTAGTCTAGATGTTACTGCGAGCGAGAGAGACGCGGCATAATTGGATGAAAAAATTGTACTATCCGATCGAGTAAAATTGAACTAATTAGAGGCTTGCAAGTAGTCGTCAAAGCGAGCGTAGTTAGCGGGTAGAAATTACACGCGAAGTTGACGTTGAAGTGATTAAAATCGCGAAAGTCGCGAGGGAGGTACTCACTGTGAAACCTGGTCCCTCTGGTCGACAGGACCTGATGCAGTCGTTGAAGAGTTTCTTTGGTGGCTTTCTCATGTTTGTCACGTGCCCTCGCCTGCAATCTCACTTCCATGTCCGCGGAACAGCACACCTCTCCGCCGCTTCTCACGCTGCCGCATATTTTCAGCTCCTTTGCTGGAAAAACGAACGAGAAACGAGATTAAAACGAGCTTGGAAAACTGCTCCCGGTTGGTCGTTTGTCTTGCTACCGTAAAAGGAAACTGTCTCGAACTTCCGTCGAAACAGCCTCTTTTTAACCCTTCGTCGTATAAAGCATAACGATTTAACTGCGTTACCGATTCTCTTTATGTCTTGTTCAACCGATTTATAAAATGTGCGCGAAAACGTTATTTTTCATCGCAATTAGAATACTCTCGCAATACCGAGTTCCACCCTACACATTCGAACGAACGATTCAACAACGGCAACATTGAATTCCACCCTCTGTTGGCTGGCAGCAAGCAACGGTTACGATAAGCTACGTTTTCCTCGAGGGTCCGATCGAGAGAACAGAACGACCCTACGGTTCGTTTATCGGTTGGTCGCCAGTTATATCGCTTATCTGCCAATATTTCCAGTCTACCGTCTAAGTAAGCTAATTTCCAGCCACTCGGAATTCCGCGTCAAACTCTCTCCGCCTTTCGTCTCTCGAATCGTTCACCCCTGTCTGTCCCTCCACCCTCTCTCGGCGCTGTCGTCGTCTCGTTCATCGCGAACTTTCAAACGCGCCGTAAAAGTAATCCCGATTCATTTCCGCGGGATTGCTCGTGTCGCCCGCGTGTTCCGCTTTCCTTCCGCTCGTTTCAGCCTCGCTGTTATTCCGACGCAAAGAGTCAACGAGAAAAAGTAATCCGTTACGATTACTTTAAAAAAAAAATGCATCCTTCGATCATAGCGTAACGTAACGTAACGGGTAACAACACTTATCGGGTTACTTAATAATTGTCGGACTATTTCCTCTCTATTATATAATTCTTAAAAATAACAGGTAATCGACGATCGATACCGGTTACCTACGAGAGGGTCGATTACTATACATAGATCAACCCTCTGATCGATTCCATTCTACGTACGTGTGCGCACGTGTCGACCTCGTGCATCGGAAAACCTTAACAGCCGATTAATTCCGGATCAATCGAACCGTGAAAAACTCGCAACTTTTTTTTTAGACGAAAGGTCAGCTTCTCCCTAGTCCATCGATTTCGATAAACACACGCGAAACCGTACCTCCGAGGAAGGCTCACGGTTAATTCTCCGGATCATCATAAAATCACCGCAGAAAAATTTTACATTTAATCCGAAACGGGGAGTATTCAGATTCGAAAGCCGACGAATTATGATTTCATTTTTATCAAAGATTTTTATTCGAAAGAAACAAGCGAATAAACATCCTGTTAGCGAGTCGATCGAAGAGATACCAGCCAGGCATCTTTTGACTGCCATTTAAAAGGGCGTTACACACGGAAATTGAGAAATTTCCATTGTAAGTGGATTTTCACGAATAACTTCGCGAAAAGCCAATCTCGCGGCAGCAAAAGGGTGGAGAGATCGCAAACATGAAAAACCGTCGAGAAATACGATTGCCCGCGGGTACAGTCTCTTCGATGTGATTTTTTTTTCACGAGGATTTATCATTTTAACGGTTAACAAATAAACATTGTTCGCTCGATACGCTGTTGTAAAGCATTGTTGAAATTCATGCAAAACTTAAACTAGTTTAACAACCAGCGCGTTTCGTCTTTTAATGAACTATTCATCCTTGATCGAGGTTCGATCGTGCGAATCGTAATTTAATGCAAATCTGGTTCGACGCTAAGAAGTATGGAGCTAAAGTTATACCAGACAAGGAATCAACGGATTATAGTTAGACGATCCACAAGTGCGCTAAGCAAAATATACGACGCGTAAAACTGAAGTGTAAATAGATTAATCCAAACCGTGTAAGATGTTTCAGCAGGCGTCGCGTTCAAAGGCAACATACAAATCCAGCCAAACTTACAACAACGTATCCTGCAAGAGGGAACAAGAACTCGTATTCAAAGTTTGAACTAAAAATAGTTTGTTAGCGTTGTCCACCTCCGTACCGTTTCGCTCCGTAGAATAATCGAGAATGATTAAATCCAAGTGTTACGTTCTAAAAATTACCGCGTGTCTCGAGCCGAACCCTAAACGAAACAAGTTTCAACGTTAAAAACACGAAGAAAAATATGCAAGGTTCTTGAAAAATCCCGCGGAAGCTGTGCTTCCAATCTCGGTGCCCGTTTAGGGGATGATATTGCAGTTACCGAAAGCGGTATGCGTGGCCGTGGATGGAATACAAATAACGGGCGAAACCGTTTTACTTTCAAGCACAGTAGCGGGCACGATAGACTTCTCTAGGGAACACGTCGACGTAGAGGGTTGGAAAACCTAAAGACCAGAGTCTAGAGAGTAGGAAGAAGCTAAAGATTAGGAAGAGCCTATAGACCCTGTATAGAATCTTCTATCCGTTCCTATGCTTTCTGTTGACTAAGCGAAGCTTAAATTACACGCGACCGTACAACGTTCGGGAATCGAACCTCCCTGGGGACCGGAGAGAGTCGCAAAATGTTTGCACTGGCTGAAAAGGAAGAGTCGAAGGGGAAACGGTGATCGGTAGTTGTTCCAGGGTAAAGATAGAAGCGTCTTGGCGAAATTGAAAACAGGGTGGAAATTAATGGGAGTTCCGTTTGGTGGTTCGCCAAATATTTGACCACCCTAGCGGTTCGGCGGCATCTCCATAAAGGTGAATCCCGGTTTGTTTTCCTTGGATCCCGGCTTCCTTCGTTCGGAAAAACGAATTTTCTCCGCGGATAACTTGGGCGAAAATAAGTTCGCGCGGTTCCGAAAACGAGAGAACGAAAGAGATTCGACGGACATCGTGCATCGAACGTCGCTCGCATTTTTCGAACGACAAACGAGGATCGCGCGAAGAGAAAAGTCTCGTTCGGTTTACTCGAAAAATAGACAGGATATTGTACAGCCTGTTGCGTAAACGTTGATGGATTGTTATTCGCGATGCGTGTATTTAATGGACGTTTCCGGTCGCGTGAGCATTTTGTTCGAAGCGACGAGATTTCTATCTCGATAGCGTGACTCGTCTTCCTATCGTTTTACGATAGTTATTAATTAACTGCAACGCGTTGTTAATCATCGACCCACACGCTCCGACGATATTTTTACTTTCGGAGCTCAGTCGATTGTTCGTCTCGTTTCGCGTTTGCTGGTTACGAAGCGATCAGATATTATTGTCTAGTCGAATCGATAAGAAAATTCGGTCACGATGGGTGGTTCGAAGCGCCGCTAAAACCGGGCGACGTGAAAATCAGGACGACGCGACGCCAGACGACGCTCGTCGTCTGGACGCGTCCCCTCGCCAGAGTCGACCGGTCGGATTGATCGCGCGCTAACGTTAGCGGGAAGATACGATTCGGCTAGCTCGTAAATATTTAACGGAGATTCAAGCTGGTATCCTATAATGGCGTGGATGCTTTGCGAAAAGCAGGATGTCTGTCCGTCTACGTGCACGCGCACACAATCGTTGTCCTGTTCTACAGACTGTAAAACATCGAAGAATAGCCCGCAAAGAGAAACAGTTACTCCTATGGCCAGGCAGAATTCTCTCCGTCCTTTGTACGCTCATTGTTTCCTTGTTCCTCGTTTCGTTCGATGCCCTGGGAATATTTGGCACGGACGCTCGATGAACGAACGAAAACCACCGTATATTCTACCTCCTGAATGTTATATGTATACGACTCCTAACGACGGAATAGTAAAATGCTTCTAACGTCGTCTGTCTTCTAGTAGTATACGACGTTTATCTAACTTATCGTTGAACAATGTTTAAATAGTTTAATCTATCTGTACCGCGTTATACCAAATTATTGTAGCCTTTTACAAAGTTCGATTAATTTCGAAAAGTTATTTAGAAAGGAACTCCTAACCAGGAAAATTGTTCGACGTTCCACGAAAAATCTTTGCATTCGTTGTAATTTTTCGTCTGTTCGCAAAAACTAAATCGAATCCACTGGTCCAGGAAATTGAACGCGCGGAATAAACGAACCGCAAAAGGTTAATTTTCAGCGCGAAAATGACAAAGACCGAGAGGAAAAGAGGTACCCCTGTCAAACGGTACACGGCTCTTGTCGCAACGTGCCCACGCTGTTCGTCGCTTTTCAGCAGAAAAGAGAGCTGACCCGTTTAACAAAAGCGGACGTCGAAAACGGTAGAATGTCCACGGACAACGACACGGTACGAAATGTTGGCGGGGGCAGATAGAGAGAGGAACGAAACGCACGATTTTATCGATCGTTCGACCCCATAGAGAACCGTGTATCCACGACAAAGGCTGAACCGCCTAAAGTGGGATTGCCGGTGCAACAATGTAACAGGGCGCCTGGTTACGGTTTACGAACGACAAGAGGAAAGAACGAACGCGTGCGCGGTGTGCCTATGTAAGAGCAAAATTAACGATCATGATAATTGTGCCAGCGTGAAGAAAGGGGAAATCCTGACACGGTCGACACGCTCGCGAGACCGGCTTCTCGTTCGTGAACCCCTGCGAGCGTGCAAACATCATCCCCCTTGTCGAATACCGGTGTACGTTCGATGTACAGGGTGTCTCACGCTTTTACCACCGAACACGAACGTCTCGAAGCAAACGATTCGACGCGATCAAGCAAAACCTTCGATTTCTCGATTCATTCTGCGAATCCGTATCGCGGCGGTCTATATCCATAGCAGAAATAACTTTATTTCCCAATTCGCTTCGTTCCTGAATGGCTTCGGAGACCTTCGTTCGCGTGGAAAGAACAAACAATGTTCGGTCGACTCTCGAATCGTAATTCTCGTCGCCTCGGGTAACCCTGTGTTCGAGAGGAAGCGCTTACTTTCACAGCTTTCTCGAGCTTCGCTTACTAGGTAAAAATTAGTTTCCCTATAAGAATTAATAACTACTGTCGACAACTGTAACTGTAACGACGATTTAAATTAAACTTTATACCGTAATCGTGAAAGGGGTTAAATCTATTCGAAATTCATTCGCACGATCTTCGGTTCCAATTTCACGAACGCGCAAACCTTGAAATGCTGCATCCACACCAGCGCTCAGACACCTG